GGTCGAGGAAATTCGCACTGCGTCCCAAGCCCAGCACGTTGTATGGCAGCTGCAGGGCAAAATGCGCTGACTGGCTGAGCTGTCCAGCTGGAACACAATTAGAAAAGAAGCCCATGTAAGTATTGATAAAAAACCCCCAAACCACCAATTTTCTACACAAACATACACTTCAGAGTCAGTACTAAAAATTTTTAAACCAGTTAAAACCAACCACATGATTCTTTCATTCTTAAAGGCTCAATCCCACATTTCCAAAAGACTTGTGGGCACTCACTTGGAGAAGAGCTTAAATTCTGCAGATTGCTAGGTAAGGTGATCCGCGGGAGCACCAGTTATACATTAAACCCAATCTCTACTATTTGTTGCAAGTGGAGAAGAAATCAGCCACCAACATTTATTTTGCTAGGAGTAGCACTAAGTCTTTTGCCCCACCGGTCTACAAGCTCAGACTCAACATGCGACGGTCCAATTCTTACCAGGGTTTAGTAACTAATTTAGTAATTAGTTAAACTAATCAGTAACTACTGCTTCTTCCTGAGTCAAAAAATTTACTAAGTAAAACATCATGACAAAATTCTCAAATACTAAATTGATTTAATGAAAACAGGATCACAGTGGTTGTCAAGTTAGGTCCTAGGGAGTGTGTAATCACAAATAATTAAAGGAGAGTGTAGGGGGAAAATTACATTCTTGGTTTCCTGGAAAGGCAGTAGGGAAACAGACAAGTGCTGCAGCTATCAGCAGGTTCACGAACATCCCTTCTCCAAGTATCTAGTTGTGCCATTTAAATACAAATGTTGTAATCTTTAAACTTCTGGCATAGTAATTCAGATGGTAGGTAGACTCGTCGTTCATTCTCCAGAAAGCCTCGTAGTGAGTGATCTGGCTGCAAAAAAAAGCACCTCACAAGCACTGCAGTGAGTTCAGCCCTTCACCACATTAATAGAAATGAGTTCCAGGGACCCTTGACAACCACAAGTACGTTTGCTTCATCAATAGGAACAGTTTTCACAAGGATATGGTGTACAGGCAGTCTCTTTTAAGTGTCAGGTTTTTCTCTGCTTTGACATCATGATTATGCCTGAAATAGATTATTATAAGCTAAGCGACCTAACAGAACGTGAACTAAAAAACATGAATTCACATTTTGTAATGCGTTTACAGCCAACTCCTTTCCACCTCTCCACACTTTCTTCTGAGGCTCAATCCTGAAAGTCAGTATGCTCCGCCAGAGAACCGGCTGCAGGCCATTCCAGCCGCACTGCATCTTGGGCAGGTGCGGGGAACCGAGCGGGGGGAAACTCCCAAACAACAACCACCACAGCTACAGCTTCTGTGGCAAAGCCAAACACCCTTTTGGTAAAAACCCGAAACTCCCCTTCTTAGCTCCTGGAAACAGCCCGATGCTAAGTGCAAGCATGCATTTCCCACTATGCAGCAGCCGTGATCCCAGTGGGAAGCCTCTGGAACGTGGCTGTACAAGAGTATTAGAAAAAGCTAATTATAAAGGAAAAAGGGACTACCAAGATATGACACCTCCTTTAAGAAGCAGCTTTTCTATCCTCTTATGAGGGAAAAACTACTTTGTATGTTGGATTTTGATAACGCGGAGCCCCTATTCGATACCGTAATTCTGTCTGTGGTTCTGTTTTTCTGAACCTCCTCACCCTCCACCAGCTTTTTGGGAAGAAGCTTGCCATATGCATGTTTTGAAACAGGCCCGTTGAATCATGAGGTAAATAGTCTGTATTATTGTACTTTTAGAGCTATGATTTATTTTAAACGGCAAGATAAATGTCAACTAAGTACACTTGGATGAGACCTGAAAAATCAGCTGGATGCAGTTACGTTTTTAGTAAGCTAAAATGCTGTTAGCACAAAGAAACAGTAACAGTTTTCCTGAAGATTAGGCATATTTTGGATTTACTTTTTCTCTGTGCAGAAGCAGGCAATGACTAAGTGAACGTGGAAATCATTCAATAGATTTGTACTTTCAGCCCTCTGTTGTGGGGGCTGAAAATTAACCCCAAAATCGAATTAACTCTCAAATTAGAGTAAGCACATAATATCCGAAAGCACTGGTTACCAATACAGAAGTACCACGGAACAAAGGTAGGTTTATTAAATCGCACTTAGTTATAAAACAAGTCAAGGTATAGTATTACTTGATCATGCTATAACATAAGACTTCTCTTTAAAAATTTGCTTCCCTAATGCTGAATTCTGAAGGACTTCTCCCAAAAGAATAAGGTGCTGCTGTAATATTTAACAATGAAAAGCTTTTAGAATGACTTTTGAGTGAAATATTTAGGATGAGGAGACTGCAACTGAGATCTTCCTTTTTTCCTTCATCATACAAATGAAATGAATGTCAACTAAATTAAAGGAAATAAAAGAAAATGTCATATACTGTGTGCAGTCATCCTTAAAGAGGTTAGAGAGGCAGATACTGCAGCTAGAATTCTTAAAAGCACTGAATAATTTCATGGCTACTAACGCTGTTTCTTATGCCTACTAAGATAAGGGTAATGAAATGCTTCAGGATGTAAATAGACCATTTGCAAAGGTCAGAACAGAGTGTTTGCTTCAACGCAGCAGGCAGAAAACATGCACACACCTTTTCTTTAATTTGCCTTTAAAACTGGGAGATACTAGCTAAGCAGGACTTGGAACGATAGCATTGAGAAGGTACGGGTTTACTTTAAAGCTGACTCTAAACAGGAGATCTTTGAGACCGTTTCTTGCTTAACTGCACCTGTATCGATCATAACTTTTCTAAGAGTTTGATGGTTACTCGAATGTTCCACTTAGAATTGCAAACATGTAATTAAGAATGACAAGTGTTCATCTGAGACACATAAAAACCCTGAGCAAAGATTAAAAATAAAGAGAAATCACAGCGAATGCTGTTTACTGTCGTTTCCAAAGTCACCGGTAATTAATTTACTTAGCTAAGTATTTCAAATTTAACCCACTACCTACTTGCTCTGTTGTAAAACTACTGCGAACCATTTTCTACTTGTTGCACAAGGATGTGGAAATCTTCAAGCAGGAAGGTGGGATTTATTTCTTACACCAAGATTGTTCTTTCAGCTTTTGCAAGTCTGTGCAAGCAGGACGGGGAAAGCGGCAGCAACTTCACAGCTTGTTTTCCTTCATCAGTAGAACTGTCACTACAAACAACAATTAAAAAACCTTCTCCTGCCCATGATGTACATTATTCCTTTTTAACACTTCAAAGGCCATTTAACACTACATGTTTTGCCTTATGCTTCTTGTTTCCAGAAAGTGATTTGGAAGCACCTGCATATTATGGGTGATGGTATTGGTATTTTTGTTTTAAAATTGTAATTCACTAAGTTTATTGCTTCAAAAACCTGGGGCAGAGTGAAGACCCCAACATTTTAAGACATGGTTTTCAGTGGTTTCAGCCTGGCAGAGATCAAATGTTAAAGAAATGGCCAGCGTTCTTGGGCAGCCCAACCTTACAAAATCCTGCGAGTTTGATATTCAGAGTCATTGTGAACATCCCTGCATCAATCTCCTCCTTTTTGAAGTCTGGCATATAAAATCTGAAGCAATACATATCATTAACCTTTTGCAAGCCTTGTCTGAGAAACAGAATGATGTGCTGTGTATGACACATACAGGACTTTTCTTCTGTATCCACATTAAGGCGTTTCCCTCCTGTTTCCATTACACTGGTGTAAACTTGCTGAAAGTAGCCCATTATGCCCTGGATTAAACTGCAACGTCCTCCACAGTTTATTGCAGGGTGACCGGAGCTAAACAGTGTCAGTGCTTAACTGAAGCCCCTCTAACTTCATGAAGGGGGCTGCGCTCACACGTAGAAGCAACACTTTCTATTGTTTCTTTAGGCAGAACTGATAATGGGCGATACTGGGTTTAAGGTCACAAAACTGGTATTGTTCAGTCAGTTTAAATAATCCTATTTTACGGAATAATAGAGCAGAATAGACAAGATCCTTCCCCAGAGCTGAAAGATGACCGGAAACTCCCACTTCAAAGCTGTGCTCTCCGGAAGAACCATTCTTTTAATGTTTTTTTCTCACATGATTTGCTTGACAAACTATCATTTGCTTTTAAGTAGTCC